TTTGTTGATTTCCTCCACCGCTGCTCAAAATTGGTTAGAACGTCGTATGCAGCAGGCCCTTCAATTTTGCAGTGTAAATCATGCCATGGCTGCCTTGGGCCCTTTGTTTCAGTCTGATCAAACAAAAATATGAGAAAAGGGTTAATTAATACTACATATCGATCATCTTGAATGGAGGACTTATCCTTTATGCTTGAATTTGCTTTTATTAGTTCCATTAGTTGTAGTACTTATGCTATTCAATTATTGTTTCATTCTGCTCAATATTTAGAAGCTAACATTGAAAGGTGCTACCAAAACAGCTGAAAAGCTTTTTTGGTTTTGAAAGGTGGGGTTGGCCAAACAAGCTAGCTAACACTAAGAAATTTCACAAAAAAGTTGGTTTTGCCATCATTACAGATTTTCCATGAAATAAATATAGAACGCATTTTTGGGCAATGCAATAATAGTGACAAAAAAACATCAGAACGACAGCATTTATAAATAATTATGCCAAAAAAATAAGATAATTTGAAAAGGCACTCATTATATATGCTACAAATATCAAAGTTAGCTTACTTAATATAAGTTTGATAACACTCATAAAGCAAAAAATAACTCCCAGATAAAGAACAATAGAAACACGTGCAAAGATCGGCATGACAGCCTGGGTAACAATACAAGATCACAAAACACTTTTTCTCTAACAGCTAGAAAAAAGACAGTAAAACCTTTTAGTTGAAGACTGAGAACAAAAATAACACTCACAGAAAAGGTGGGATTGTGAAAGTCGTTCACAAAGATGGAATCAAGATCCTTAAAAATCCTATGTTCAGGAGTATCATAACGACCGTCACAGAGGTCAAGACCTCCTATAAAAGCAGTAATCTTTCGATTATTTCCAAAAGCTTGTGTATCAACCAACACACATTTCTGATGGTGAGTAAAAAGTGTTCCCACAACCTGAATAACAGATTAGCAATCAAAATGGTAAGTTAACAATTTAGGAAAAAAAATGACAAAAAAAAGCAAACAAAAAACAGAAAAGATATATTTTTGGATGCAGCATCCAAATTTTCGGCCAACATCATGCACGGATAACGTAATGAAAGAAGTGAAGAAACTAACAATAGCAACACTCATTAACATAGGCAAATGAAAATTGCTAGACAACAACAAAAGTTACTCTGCCGTAACTAGGTGGAAAAGAAATGCTAACCTCCAAACCTGTAAAAACTGATTAAAATACAAACAGGAAAAAGAATCTTCAAGAAGTTATAGCAAATATAAGTCACCAAGCCTTGAATGTGTCCCATGCTTATATCAGGGACACTAACATAGGGAAGAAAAAAATCAACTAAAGCATTAAATCATTTGATTGAATTTTATGCTCTATTTGGGATGATGGCTTACAGCATGCCTCAAACAAAAACAAGCTAAGGTGGTACCCGCCTGCACACTTAAACTCACAAAAGCATCCAAATGTATTTCCCAAGCACAGTCCTAACACTCAAAGTTCAACGACTATTTATGAATTATGAATGATGCTTTTGTATCTGTCTCACATTAAAACTTATTTTCTTTGCTTCCATCAACATAAATAACAATGCATACAAAACGAGTGGCTAATTTAGAGAGGCAGTACTGTTCCTACAAAATATTGCAAGGATCTCTTGCTGGCATACATGGTTGAGTTGAAATAACAGAGTCTAATAGATCATACTGTGGCTGTGCAGAAACAATTGCATCAGGGAGAGAAGTAGGCTCACCTGAGCCAAGGAAAAGACAGCATAGATTGATAACTTGATACAGTGAGATAACCGAAAACTTTACAAGTTTGGAAATAATTCTTAAATAACTCCAAATGCCTCGATAGTTTAACTTGTTTTAGTATACTATAGACATTTCTCCTACAACATGTGCTTTCCCCTTCTCAAATTCCAAGAAACCTACAATTTTCTTGAATGTTATGAATCCAAATCTTACTCCTGGTGAAGCATGGCGATCAAAACCTCTCTGCTAAGCTATAAGTTAACCGATAAATTCAATCATACGAAAAGATTGCATAAAAATGTTCTGAATACATAACATTCAAAGTTGTTAACAAGATTTGACGCCAAATTTTGTTTTTCCTTCTGTACCCAAGTACAAGAGGCCAGTCTTTAAGATTCAGTGGAATAATCTGACGCAACGAACGAAAGGGATTGCTTCTTATGATCCTCATGCGAAGATCAATAATTCAACATCTTCATTCCCTGCACAGACTAAAATTGGTGACTTCCAAGCACAATATTTGATAATTGATTCACCCTACAACAACAACAACAGGCCTTTATCCCATTAAGTGGGGTCAGCTACATGAATCCTTTACTTAATTACATCCCTATTGAGTGTCATAATAATTGATTCACCCTATATAGATAAAAATCTCTTAAATTATAGAATACTGAAAAAATCCTTTGATCATCTAAATTCTACATCAAAGAATCCTCCTCGCATACAAACCAATCTAAAGAACCCTCAAAATTCACAATTTCATTGAAGTTTAGTAGCGAAGTTGCTTCAGTTTCTTATCAATAAAGCTTTGTACTAGGATTAAGGTGTCAATTCTTCTAGCATAAGGCTGCTTAGAAAAGAAGAAAGTTCACTTGCACCTTTCACTCTATGACACGGTCATTAGGCATCTTAGAATGATGTTGAGGAGGTGACATATCGGCCGGTCGGCCCCATGCCTGTAGATATTTTCCAATCCTTCTAAAGATAATAATCTTGCATGATGACTTGATGAATAAATATTAAATTAATTTGATACCTTAATCACTGGTTCCTCTTTTCAATCTCCTCTTTATCCCTCAAGTCCCTCCTGTAATCTCAAATCACATTTAGAGCGAGCCATGTTCAACTAAAAAAAAAGGCACAAGTTGAAAAATAAACTAAAAAAATATTGAGTTGACTTTAAATTGTACTCATAAATCAACAATTACTGAGTTTAAAGAAAAATTCCCAATACCACTTGCTTAAGCAATTTTGAGTTTCAAGCGAAATTCCCAATCGCACCTTCCAGTGAAACACTAATAAAACTAGAAGGAATATCAAGGGACGAAAAATTTATGAATTTACAAAGCTTTTTTCTTTCCTAAATCATAGGCACGCCCTCAATAAAAATCTAAAACAAATAGACTTCTAAGTTGTTTAAACGATTTTTGCAATTTAAAATACATGCAAGCACAGATAGGCTAGGAGAAAAAGATTTTTACATGAAAAAATAATGGAGTTAACAAGCCTTGTTTAATTGTGAAAAGTCACTTCTATGAAAGTCATGTTGACCTCAATTTTCGTGAGGTCTAGTATTCCTTGTAGGAGTTAGGATCTAGCTTTAGGGGTCTTCCTGCGACTATCTTAGAACCTTAGAAGTGGTGCCCGCCTCGTTTTAGTTCAACCTATTTCCGTCCTCTTTTGGAGTTTCGCGTGTGCGGTATCGACTTCTAACACTTAGAAGGATGAAACCGACATGAGGAAACCCAAAATGGATTCCTATAGGACCTTCCCGAGCCTTAGGGTGACCTTCTGCACAATTCGCACTCCTGCGCGCACCAGCTTCGCAATTCGGAAAGTCGACGTGTCCGATCGCCGCAATTCTCATTGCCTCCGCTGTTACTTCACGCATGCCCGCGTTAACCACTTGTGACG